TAATTTCTAATAGCATTAAATTAGAGTCACTCATTTCTGTATGAACCCTGTGAGCGCTTAATTTACTATGTCATATTAAAAAAATCCCACCATCATCCAGCATATGTTCAGTTTCTGCCCAAATATATATATATTTTTTTTATGTAGATTTTTGTAACGGGGATAACTAGGATAATTCAAAACTGCTTTTTTTTTAATTAACTTTGTTCTCTACTCCCAAACTCAGCATATCTTCATCAATTCCTGCAATAAAAAGTTTCTTTTGAATGGATTTGATTAAAGTTTAAGTCCCTCGGTATAAAATAAATATTTTCATGGAGATGAGAATCTGCTTCCTGGTGGGTGAATAACAAATTTGCATCCAATCATTTAAATAAATGGTGTTAGTTTTTTTGGAATATATAAGAATTATGCTATAATTTCTAGTTACCGATCTGTTGCCACTATATTTTAATTTGACGAACCAGAACATAGATGTTCTTTTTCCTGTTTGGTGTGATTGCAATTGCAGGTCTTGACCTGGCCGGAGCAAAAAATAGCTCGTCTCCATATTTTGTCGTTGACGGACAGAAAAGACGTACGTGGACGGCGACGTGCGGAGGAGTAGCGGTGATGTGGAACAGCTATCATTGATTTACATGAAAGACAAGTACTCCGCACGACGTACGTCAGCGGGGGCGGAGCAGAGCGCTGACAGTATGTGGAATCTGGGGGTTAGGCATAGGTTTCGATAGGCTGACATTTCAGTATTCAGATCCTTCTTGGTTCCCAGAAAAAGTTAACTTTTGAGTCTTTATTGGCATCAAGCCATAAACAAATAAAAATGTTTACTTCCAATTTTCCAGATGCATCCAACATCTGGTTCTAAAACAAATTTATTTTTGTGTCTTCAGATATTGCTACAAGCACCAGACACACAAATCAAGTGTAACCTATGCTCCATACTTGATTTCAAAGGTACATGGTTCAGATGAAGTCACTTTTCAAGATTGATGATGAAAGTGTGTTATCTTGGAGCAGACTAATATAACCTGCCATTTCGCTCAGTACAACCTCACTATTCTGCAATGCGTTTCAGAACTTTACTTTTGTTGTTCTAAACTGAACAAATTTGTCATTAACTCAAACAGAGCACAGGTCAAACTTTAAGCCAAGAGAACTGGTTCAAATGGGTAATTGCCAGCTAGCCTTTATTATTCTTAACAGTATTACCTTCTTCAAAGGTAAAGCCAAGACTGAATGGCTGCCATCACCCCAAGCCTTGATGAACAGAGTTTAAATCCAAATCTGCCAGGGCTCTGTCACTATAGCGGGCTAAAGTGCTCTTTATAGTGAAAGCACTGCATGTGCACGTTCTTTCAATTTGAGTCTGTGCACAACAATGGCACAACCTAGTGCAGTCTAGATGCATGGTTAGAGTTTGTCTTCAAGCTTGTAGACATTGGAAACATGCTGCGTTTCCAAAGGCAAGTTTTTAAAAGGTCATTTGTAAGAGCAATGCTTTCTAGACTTTGTCTAAAGAAGGGGTTTCAAAGTCGTTCCAGAAAGGGCCGTGTGGCTGCTGGTTTGCTTTCCACCCAAGCAGTAGCACACCAGACTCCATGCATCCCATCAAGTCATCAGGTTAAGACTAGACTCACCTTGATGAGATGAATGGAGTCTGGTGTGCTACTGCTTGGGTGGAAAGAAAACCAGCAGCCACATGGCCCTTTCTGGAATGACTTTGACACCTGTGGTCTAAAGTCTAGACAAAAAAAACAAAAAAAAAACCCCTCATCCCAATGTCTTCAGAAAAGAGACCAAGAAACTTGCAGCTTTCAAGTTTTTTTTATTATTCCAAGTGTAAACATTTACATGCGTTTGCTTATTCTCTTGTAAACAATGTCACCAACAGTCATCGTCTGCAAAGAAAAGGCTAAACTTCAGAATGTTGCCCAATGAAATTGATTGAAAGATACAAACATTTCTAGAAGCTTACATTTACGATCGTGTTGGCATCCACCATTTCCGTTACAGACTCAATTCCTTTAAGAGAAACCTTCAGCTTACCGCCCTCCCGATTCACTACTCCCTTTAAGATAGAGAGGAATAACTAGAATGAGTTTTCAGGAAAGGGAGTTTTCATTTCAGTGCAATATCCACTTACTTTCATCTTCTCTCCAGTTATGTTTTGCAGCTCTGTCTCCTTTCCGATGGTGAAGGAATTGGTAATGACTTTTGACCCCGTGGTGACAGTCACCTTGAAATTGTCCCCATTTTCCTCAATTTCAGAGATGCTTTTCAGGTCTTTACCTTTCTGGATGAGCTCATCAGGAAGACCTGAAATGCATAACGGACTGAGACCATATATCTCGTTTGCATAGAATTTGTTTTCCTTAAAGAACCAACTCACCAAGAGCCTTCATGAAAGGCTCAAAGTTCTCCTGTGACTCCAGCTGGTATTTTCCATTAAAAGACATGGTGACTGACAGAAAAGGTGGATAGGAATGAGGAGCCCTGCCTTTTGTATGCTCTCAAAGAGACGCAGATCAATGATTTACCCCAGGTGACTCCAATTAGGCAGAGTCAGACCAGCTCGGAGCTGTGCTCACATCGAACACAGCAGATAAGAGCCTGAGGAGACATACACAGACTGAAAGAATTTTGCAAAACTTAAATTAAACCTAGTAAGCAATAGAAAACAATAAATGCGAGACAATCTTTTGAGCAAATAAATGTGACTGAAGATCACAATTAACACACTTTAATTGATGCTGTAATTAATCAAGAACTTCTAACAGGACTGAATGTGTTGATACTCATAGCTGCATTACATAGAGGGGAATGTTTAATGTGTTGTTTCATTTTGTTTAGTTAGAGAGTTTTATTCAGAGTTAATGAAAACTCACAAAGTTTTAAAGGAATTCTATTTGAAAAGCTGAAAATAAAATGTTTGTCAAAGAAAGTCACTGAGTCCCTCTACATGGAGGGTAAGCAGGTCAACATTAAATGCTGCCTTGCAGGGTACTGAGGGTACTCTGGCGGAAATACTAATAAATTGTAGCTAAGTAGAAATTAATATCTGGAAAAGAAAATTTTGCACCATTAAGAAGAATTACAGAAACCTTAAAAGGATTGCATTAGGAAAACTTAATTTAGAGGTTGGAGCAAAGCCATTCTGGACATGGACTCAAGTTTAGCCACCCCTGGATCCTTAGCATTTAGGTGGGCTAAGGCAAAAAAATTGAATGGACTGTTTGGCACATGAATGCAGATGTTGCATTTGATTTAGGAAAATCCAGGTCAAAGTATGGAGGACGAAGAACAGAATCCGATCCCTTTATGCCCAGGGTTACGGTTCTGCAGTTATTGGCCGCATTTCATTTAACCATCAAATCTGCATAAATTGTTATGAATACCTTGAAATACCTGTAATGAAGCTTGAAAAAAGTTTTTTTTTATATATATAAAAAGGTGTTTCACCAAGATGAGGGGTTTCCCATTAATTGAAATCAATGTATTTCACTAAGCAGCAATAGAGAGACTTTTTCCACATCATAACAAAAAAGACTGAAAGAACAAAGAAGTCTGTTTAATGCTATTTAATGTTATTTGAACACATTTATTCTTGTGTGGTTTTAATTGCATTTTAATATTAATGGTTGTTTTGTGGTACTATTAGAATATGGAAAAAGTTTTGTGTTTCAAATGGAAAGCACCTCATGATGCTTTGGGCAGATTATGTCATCTGCTGTGTCGGCCCTTTGTGCTTTATCAAGTCCAAAGTCGGTACAACCATCTACTTGGAAGTTTCATTGCTCTTCTACTTTTACTTATATGGTAAACTCCTCAGGGACACCACTTTAATTTTTTCAGCAGGACCTTTAAACCCTCTGACACTGCCAAAATTAGCAATAACTACTTTAACAACCATGGTAACATTGTATCTGATTGGCCAGCAAAATATGAAGATTAACATGATGAGACAATGAAAGCCAGCAGGAGGTCTGTGCTTCCATTACATCCCAACCATACCTATTGCTGATTACTTTTGTTCTATGTTACATTTAGGTAATTAATTTCCTTTAAAATGAAGCACTAATCAAGAACCGACTGCATGTACGGTACAGTACAAAGACATAGGTTTCGATAGGCTGACATTTCAGTATTCAGATCCTTCTTGGATCCCAGAAAAAGTAAACTTTTGTGTCTTTATTGGCGTCGAGCCATAATCAATGAAACAGAAATAAAAATGTTTTTACTTCCAATTTTCCAGATGCATCTTCCAACATCTGGTTCTAAAACAAATTTATTTTTTGTGTCTTTAGATATTCCTACAAGCACCAGACACACAACTCAAGTGTAACCTATGCTCCATACTTGATTTCAAAGGTACATGGTTCAGATGAAGTCACTTTTCAAGATAAGATTATTGATGATGAAAGAGGTTTTTCTTGGAGCAGACTAATATAACCTGCCATTTCGCACAGTACAACCTCACTATTCTGCAATCTGTGTTTCAGAACTTTACTTTTATTGTGGTTCTAAATTGAACATGTTTCTTTGTCATTAACTCTTAAATGGAGCACAGGTCAAACTTTAAGCAAAGAGAAGAACTGGTTCAAAGGTGATGAGATAATCACCCTAAAAGTTGCAGCGGTGATATTTGCACTAGGCCTCATGTGAGGATCTGAAAGATAAGGGCAGTTCTGAAAGTAGAATTTAATCAACCACTGAACCCGATAAGGCTAATGCTGACTCCTTTCTTCAGGTTATGCACAGCAAACAAGACACAGAGGCATTTTATACTTTCCTTAAACTTTATTTCAGCATGCAGGAATCAGGATGATCTGTCCATATTTATCCCTGTTTTCATACTAAAATATATTGACAAAGGCACTCTACCGAAGCACTCCAAGAGAAAGAGAAAACAATGGCGACAAACATGGACTATTCAACACAACTATTCAGCAGGAACTACAAGTCCCATTGTTTTTGTCCTTGCGGAGAAACCTTCAAGGACAGAGGTGCTCATTGGTGCGATCGGTGAGAAGAGTGGCTGGCCAGATGCAGGAGCCTGAGGATGATGTCTCCGGGGTCACCACCTTCATACTGGCTGGTTTGGTCATCTCCGTCATCCTCAGGGAGGCACATCTGATCTGCAGTGCAGCTCTCTGTGGAAGAAGAGCAAAAATGCAGCAGTTAATGCAGAAGTCTTTCACTGAAAAAGCACCTTTTCCTAGAATCTCCTGCAAATTTGAGAAAAAACAACCAAACAAACATAAAATTAAACAGGAAGCTTTCCAGCTTAATGCAATCAGTTGATATTTGAAAGAGAAAGCATAAGCTGGTTTATAACTTCTAAATTAATTAGTTTTATACACTGGAACATCAACTGTCTCTTTAAACAGATTTTTTTCCCCCTACTAAATGCATTAGAATATAGCTTGAAAAAGCAACAGGCAAAATCCTTATTTAAACTGAAAAGCTGTAACCTAAACCAACTTATGCATTAGTAGCAGTAGTGGGCCATTTTATATAAACTAAACATCCGTCTACCAAAACTATATAAAAAAAAAATCTTTCATATGAGAAGTGAAACAAACTCAAAATTGAAGAAAGGAAGTATGCTTGTATTCTGTTCAAGAACATACAGCTACTTATGTGCATCATTGGGTTCATTTTAACACCATCATGGACACTATAGATTAATATTCAAAGTGAATTCTTCAGTGACCACGTAAAAAATGGTTTTCTTCCTTATATTAGAAGTTTCACTCTGTTTCCTCCTCACAGTTCATCTTCAGAATAATAAAAAGTGAGCTGACACTTTTTCACCCATGAATGTTAATAAATTGTGTAAAGAATTAAAAAACAAATGAGAACCTAAACTGAGAGGTGTCCTATTTTGTCACTAAATCAAATCCAAAATTTGAAAGAGTAACAAAAGGATCTGAATGTCAAAAGGCAGAATTTGCTTGTAGCAAATTTAATTGAGACGTTTTTCTTCTTCATACACTGCCACCTACTGGCCAACCAGTGCAAGTTAAGAGACAATTTTACTGAAAACCACACCAGGGACAATCAGATGTAAATGCAGGGCACCTGTTTTTTTTTTATTTTTCTCGTCCTTTTCTAAACTGAGGTACTTGCAGGTAAAAACAAAACAAAAAAACTTAACATATCTGAATCATTTAGGGATAATGTAAGTTTGTCTTTTTTTTTTTTGGTCGTTTAAATTATTGCACACAATGTGAACATGGTGCATAAGTGAGTTTTAACCAATACTATTAGACAGTTTTTCTATATAATGAAAGCTACATATTTTAGATTAGTTTACTTGTAAAGGTATAGGACATCACAAGTTTAAAAATTTAAAAAAAAAATGTTAGAACTGTAAATTTACAGTCATTTTTACTACCGTATTGTTCAAGGCTGCACTTTTTAAAGCTTAAATTGTCCAGTGAGCTGTTTCCAAACGAAATTTCTTTTTGTTTTACACTTGTGTAAACAAAATGACAAATAAAACCTGTCTAAAGTCTAAAGTAGGTATACAGCAGCAAAACTACATGTCAAATTTCTCCCTTAAAAAAGTATTATAGATGTGGAGACCCTGAAACTATGGATTCACAGATGCACATCCTGAAACAATGGAGATTGTTTTTAATATTGTTTTTACCTTAAACACATTAGAAAAGGGTCAAATATGTCAGATAATTATACTTGTTTAATTCTGTTCTCAATCTCAATATGTTTTAGAATTTTTTTGTCCAGACATGAGAATGGTTGTTTATGCTGATTGTCTCTGTTTGCACACATCTTACTATGTTAGGTGCATGGATGGATAGATGGATGAAAATGCATCTTTAATAAATGAACTTAAAAATGTGTGATAAAAAAAAAATGATAATAATAAATAAAACCCTGAGTATTTCTATCATAGTTCATGCCTGAAAAGGGTTCCTTCATATCTTCTTATCTGTGACCCTGTTTTGTAATATTCTGACCTGCATCACAGCAGAGTCCAGAAGCAGCGCAGCGTCCTCCCTCTGAACCACAGGGTCGACCTCCTGCCTGACAGGGAGTGAGCAGATAGTTCTCCTCTATGCAGTGAGCCGACTCAGGTGAACCCATCAGGCAGCCGAGACCCTCCCCGCAGCAGATGCTGGGGCCGAAGCAGCGGCCTCGGTCCCCAGGGCCACAGGACATGCACTATAGAGAAAGAAAGAAATTATATATTTTATTTTGATATCTTGTTATTACTTAATTGAGTTGGATGCAGTTAATTTCTAAATTTGATCACTTATTCAAGCTCTAGTTAAAAAGGGTCTTCATGATCTGAATAATGTTAATCTCCTGTTTCAAATTTAAACTCAACTCTTTCCTGAACTTTTATATGGATACAAATTATGATCTTTTCTGATTTGCATTTGATGTTTTGTTATTTACATGTTTTTGTTAGTCAGTTTTGATGGCCAAGGCATTCTTAATTTTTCAAAAAGGTCACTCAAAAACCTTTCTGAAGGTTTGACTTAATCAAAATTAAAATCAAAGGTGGATAAAAGCAACCAACCTTGCGAAGGGGTGCATCCATGATTGACCTCTTTCCACCGATTGGGCAGTTGGAAATATAACACGCCGAACAAACAGACAGGAGGAAAAACAGGCCCACGAACATGGCAGATCCAGACATTTCTGATAAAAAATAAAGGCTGTTTAAACGCAGAAAATGGAGTCTGCTACACTCACTTGTTGCTTCAAGTTCTGCTTTCAGTTGCTCAGATGTGACTGCTGTGGTCTTTGTCTTTGCTTTTGGGTTCACAGGTCTTATATATACTCCACAGTAACTTTTGAAAGTGACCCTGAAAGCCAAAAGCCATTTAAAAATCTTTAATGAATATGCTTTGGATGCAAAGATGAGAGGAAGAAAGGGTCAGACAGGTCGTCACTCTGCCCGGTTTTACGTGTCTTTGCTGTAGTTCATTACAGAAGGTCTGGAGGAGTGTGACCGTGCATGTTAGAGATCACAATAACCATCGGAGAGGTCAAGATTAATGTGCTCGGATTAAATTATTTAAATTATTAGTGACCACGTGAGCTGGAGAACTGTGATATACTTCATTAGAAGGTGGTTCAGATTCAGGGTAATTTACTAAGCTCCTGACATAAGAAAGTAGACTTGTAGGCGATCAGAAGGCCCCTGGGCTTAAAACTCAGACTTCTGAGATGCCCTGTTGGTTCAGTGATCATGTTTGCTTTGGAGCATCACTGTTCTGATGACGACAAATCTTAAAAAATGTTAACTTTCCTTTAAGTCCTTAATTCTTCAGAGGAATTGATGCACACATTGTCCAGGATCTGAGGTTAATTTTCTATTATGAGCTAATTAACACATTTAATGGCCAGCTGCATCCCACAGAAATCGGCAACATTTCAACAATGATATGAGCTCCATTATTCCACCTTTGCGCTGAAGTCACTTCATTTCAGCCGACTCTTTTTGTCAGAAGTTATTTTCTTAGCAGAAACAAATTAATGGAGCAACTATTATTTTTGTTTTTTTTTTGCCTCTTGGTGACTGTATGTTATTTATAATGATTGCTTCAATGATCACTTTTGCAAAAGGTTGGACAAAATAAAGGAAAAACCCTTCTTCTTTGCTGAGGGGGGAAAAAGGCCAATGTAGTCCAATCAGGTACCAGAACACATCAAACAAAGCATTTAAAATCCGGTCTTTGCTGAACAAAGCTCATGGATTTCATATTATTTAGCTTTAACAACTTACAGCTACATGCTAAAGTATTACGGTAATAATCCTTCAGCTCTATGTTTGTACTTTGGTTAATTCACTCCCTTAAATTAAATAATTGAAAACAACGGCCTTTAGAAGTAGACCCCATATGACACAATACCGACTGATGAATATGGCGTTTATGAATCAGTGGTTATAAAAACAGCCAATAGGGATTCTGTTTGAAGTTTTCTACTATATGTTGGACATAGGACTCTTTAGGATGAAAGGACTCTGGTCATATGAGACCAAATTCAACTGTTTGCAGGTAAACACTTAGAAAACCAACACTTTTCAGCATTTTGTACTCGTATATCCCCTGATAAAACATGGTAGTGGTACCAATATGCTGTGGGCATGCTTTTCTTAAGCAGACACTGAGATATTGATAGGAATCTGGATATAGTAAAATCTTTGATAAATTTGGAAATCAACATGTTTTATACTGCAATAGACCTGAAACTGGGGGGAGATTCACCTTATAACAGAACAATCCAGCCATGGGTGGGATAATTTAGAGCAGGGATGCCAAAGTACTATCCTGGAGCTTTTAGATTACTAGACTGAATGGCATACAAATGAGAGGATTTAGCCAGTTGATTTAGATATAAAGAATAATAAAATTATAAAAGCTGCAGAAAAGTAGCCGTCCAGGATTGCATTTTGGTCTAGATCAAAACATTTTGATAAGCATGAGCTTTGGCTACCTGGGAAAGAAGAATGCATCTATAATCACAGTGACAGTGTTTCTTTAAAATATTGACCTGAATGCATATTGTTAATTTTTGCATGACAAATAAAGTGAAAACAGTGATCAATTCTCTTCTACCTTACAATAATTTGCTGCTTAGGGTTAGTCTCTCATAAAAATCAGAATATTTGAAGGAAAGTGTTGACATTATTGCATGTTGCCTCACAATGCTTAACAATTCAGACGGCGTTGTTTACCAGCGTAACATCAACTTTCCTCCTAAAGTTCCTCCGAAAACCTGTGCAAATCCCTATTTCATAGAGAAATGCAGATGTCTATCTAGTGTTTCCTTATTTTTCTGCAGGAAGGCACTAGGCTTGTTGACTTCCTCTCCCCTCCCTTCCTTCCTTCTCTCCGAAGGTACTCATCTGAAAAATGAGAACAAAGTGATTGTTCCTGTTCTCTTTCTTAAGTCACTTCAAATGCTATCCGTGGACGGGCGGCTCATTGTCAGGAGAGCTGTGGAGCGAGTAAGAGGAAGAGCACTCGGGCTCAGGTACAACAGCAACAAGAGCAGCAACAGCACTTCAGCCCAAAGCATCATAGAGAAAAAAAAACAAGTCCTTCAGCTGGTAAGTTGCACACAGGCTTCCCTGCATCCTGACAGGGGACACTCGCATGGCACACACTGGCACACGAGGAGGGGCTACACTTTTAATGGTTTGTTTGGGATGCAGAGATTGGCAAACGGGCTGGGGTCTCTGCTTAGAGCTACTCCAGCAGGAGGGGTGAAAAGGACAGCACAGCAGAGGGAACCCAGCCTCTGAGACAGAAAACTTTAATTTACTTTATAGCAATTTAAAAACTGGGGAAAAAAAATAAAAAATCACTTGTTATTATGCACCTTGCATTTGGAATACTACCTTTAGCACATTAATATTTTGCGTATCTTTGAAATACAACTTTTTTATTCTCCACTTTAGTGGATACTCACAATGTCATGATGCCCTTCAAAATTATTTCAAAAGCTATCAATGCAATCTTGCAAAGTTGCAAATCTGGATGCTGTGCTTAAGCAGTGATGCTGAGATATTTGAGCATCTATTATAAAGTAGAAATTGTTCATCTTTTATATTTTTTCAAGAATTGATTAAAGGTAAAAGTCGGTATTTCCAATCATTTGATATTTTCCGGAAAGACACAGAATAAAAGATTAAGTGGTAATCTGTTTTGCCTCTCTGTCAGTCAGAAGCAGCTATTTTATCTTTAAACTTATGCTAAGACTACAGATTCTAACTAATAAACAGCAAACTAATTACCAGGAATAGCAGGATGATGTTATGAACGGTATTGTTTGGAACTGTTTTGAATGCCATGCAGAAGTGAGACAGTTCCCCTTTAACTCTAATCACTGTTTTCATCCAACATCTACAAAATGACACTAAGAGATAGCGTTGAAGATGCCACCTACATCACTGTAGAGTTTATTAATAGTTATTTTAGTCAGAAAGCCAATTTTGATATGTTTTGGGGTAAGAAGTTTAGACAGTTCTTCTATAAGTGCAAAAGAAAAACAAGCTTTGAGCAGAGTGAAAAGAGAGGGAGAAGCGAAAAGGCTGCAGTAGGTGGAGGTGAACATTTCTCGGAAAGCTTCCCGATTTCAGACCAGGAGAGCATCTGTGAGAAAGAAAGAAGTGAAAGGTTTCAGGTTGAACACTGAAACGTGGGTGTCAACTCCTCTCTGTACCCACTTAAATGTTTATTTCAGATAAATGCTTCAAAGGAACTGCTCCACATCTTCAACTGAAACCAGAAGCAGGGTCATAGGATGATCTTTTATAAACTGTTCCTCTTAATGATGTGTCTGGTTGTGAGCGTGGAGGTAAAAATAAGCAGTGATCGAAAGCGGATCCACTCTATAAGTGTTCTTCATCTACTGTGTTATATTTTAAAACTATTAGTTGCTCTTTTTTGGTACCAATTCTGCAAAACTGTCTCTGCATCATTGAGGGATTTTTTGATGTTTTTGCATTTTACACTTTTTGGTTTGAATATCATTCAAAACATTTGCAAAACTATTGACCCAATTTCAACCTTTTCACATTTTTTCGCATTACAACCACAGATTTCAATGTCCTTTATTAGGAATGTATTTCATAAAGGTTTGTTAGAGAACGCTAATGCCTTTTTGGCATGCAGAAGACCAAGGAACACAGCAGACACATCAAGGATACAACGACAGAGAATTTAAAAACAGATGTGGGTTAGAAATCATTATCGTAACATTTGAAAATGTCATAAACTGTCGATGAATCCCACAAATATGGCCTTTACCGGAGTGAGAAGATGTGTTACGAATGTCCCAAAAATGAAAAAGAAGGTGTTCCAGTCAATTGATAAAAGTGGTTAACTATTTTGGCCTAGAAATTGAACATCCAGAGCTGAGTAGCCCCACAGTGAAACACATTGCTGGCAGTGTCATTGTATGGGAAACTAAAGGGGACTCTGAGAAGGTTGCAAGTAACAGGTTCAATGCAGCTTGGGTCTGGGTCCAGTCTGGGTCCTTTAGCAAGACTCTTAACCTCACACTGCTCCCCAAGTGCAACATGATGGCAGCCCACTGCTCCCCAAGGAGATGGGTTAAATGCAGAGGTAAATATCTCCAATATGAGATCAATACATTTCAATTCTTGTTATCAAATCAAAGTTCCCAGCAGGACAATGACCTAAAAGATCTAGGAATGGTTTAAATTAGATCATATTATTGTTAGAGCAACATAGTCGGAAACCATTTAAAAATCTTTGAAAAGACTTGAAATTGATTGAAAATTCATACATGCTCTTAAAAAGCTGTACCAGTTTGATCAAGCTTCACCATTTTGCTAAGAACAGACAATAAGCAAATCCTCTCAACAAAAAAATGCATAGATGTACATGTACAAAACCTGTATAATGTCAGTCATTGGTAGTTCTATAAAGCATGTCAGCTTGGATGTGAAAAAAAAAACCTTCACAATAATCAGATTTTTACTTCCAAACCAAAATGTCCTTATTATATATTGTTTTCCTTCCACCTTTGGATTATGTACCACTTTATTTTGACCCTTAACATAAAATTATAATACCGGTATATAATTTATGATTTACATAAATCAATAGTTTCAAGAAGCTGTAAAAAGAAGTTTGTTCTGTCAGATTGGCTAACATGGTGTGATATGGACATATAAGCCTAATTGACCTACTGTAAATGACTTACGTTTTCATTTTACAGCTAAATCGATATACTTCTATTGCTTTTAGGCACTAGTAAAACGCAGACTGCAGATTTGTTGGTCTTCTCTATGATTTGCAAAAAGAGAACTGCAACACTATCTAACAGCTACTTATCCCATTTTCTGTAGAAAAAAGATGGAGAAAGACATGGTGAACTTCTCACCAGGTGGAAGCCCATCTCAAGGAGATAAGCTGCGACAAACACCTCAGCAGGGTTTCTACTTGGGCCCGGCCCCACTTTACATCAAACCCCCAAGATTCTCCTCTCCCCGTTACCCCGGCATGTCGCCCACCATAGACCCCTACAGTGCTTTCACGCGGCCTGCATTCTTCCCTATGCACGGGATGGGTTATGCTCCAAAAGAAGAATCCCAAAAACAGAAGAGACTTCTACTCAAAACAGGCACCCATGGGGGCGAATCACAGGAGACTGAACAAGAAGAGGCAGAAGAGAGCAGTAGTAAGAGGAAGTTGAACATCCCTCATGTCCCCTTTGCCTTTCCACCTAGCTCCATTTCCTCCACAGCTTCCAGACCAGTCCCTGGGATGATTGAGCTTAGCAGGCTGCAGCTCCACAACAGATCAGCAGGTTTGAGTTTACCGGTGCAGGTGAAGCAGGAGCCTCCCAGTCCTTCCTCCCTTTGGCCTACTTCCCCTCTCCTTCTCCACCCCTCTTACTTCGCACCTCTGGCACACAGTCCATTTCCATACCCCGTCTTCATGCCTGGGCCTCTCATGCACATCCCACCCACTGCCTTCTACTCCAGAGAGGACCCCCGCCCCAGCAAGACCCCCCGTGATGAAGCTCCCCGAAGTGAGACATCCAACTCCGAGAAGGTTGGTCTCAACATCCATGTGGATGACAGCTACTATGTAGACGTCGGTGGGGACCAGAAGAGATGGAAATGCCGCATGTGTGAAAAATCCTACACCTCCAAGTACAACCTGGTCACGCACATCCTGGGCCACAATGGGATCAAGCCGCATGGGTGTCACCTCTGCGGAAAGCTTTTCAAGCAGCTGAGTCATCTGCACACGCACCTGCTCACACACCAGGGCATGAGGCCCCACAAGTGCAAGGTGTGCCACAAGGCATTCACCCAAACTAGCCACCTGAAGAGACACATGATGCAGCACAGTGATGTGAAACCATATAGGTAGCCTTCTTTCCACAGGTAATCTTCAGCTCTTAATTGTAATTCTTCTGTCATTTTAACATCCCTCTTTCACTTCCTTAGCTGTAGTGTGTGCGGCAGAGGCTTCGCTTATCCCAGCGAGCTTCGCGCCCATGAGCTGAAGCACGAGAAAGGGCAGGAAAACGTGTGTGTCGAGTGTGGTCTGGACTTCCCCACCCTGGCCCAGCTCAAGCGGCACCTTACAGTCCATCGTGGTCCGACCTTGTACAGGTTAGCACAAAATTATTCCATCTGTGCTTTGAAAACAATATTTTATCGGTAAATAAATGCACCTCTTTGCCCTCTGCCTTTGGAAAAATAAAAATATATTTATCTTTGGGTTTCTAAAGGTGCGCGGAGTGCCAGAAGACTTTCCAGTATCCAAGTCAGCTTCAGAACCACATGATGAAACACAAGGACATCAGACCGTACATCTGCAGTGAATGTGGGATGGAGTTCATCCAGTCGCACCACCTCAAACAGCACACACTCACTCACAAAGTAGGTTTAAAAGGAAGGAAGGAGAAAACAGGTGCCACTATAATTTACAAAGTTAGACATAAAAATACAGATTTTATTCTTCAGCAATTCCATAAATTACGTAAAATAACCTCAGGCAGGATTCAGGAAAGTCAAAGTACTTTGCTGAGATGTTATCCTTCCCCGTGAGAGCCCTTATTCAGCTCTGTCTGGACATTTCAGACCTTGTCCCCCTGCCTTCTAACAGCTGCTGGGAGGAAGGATCTGCGATAACCCTACTTTGAGCTATAATGATTAATGGGATTTTTAAAAAATCTCAAAAATAATAACACATAATTTATGGTACTAAAGGATAAATGCCTGCAAAGAACTTAATAAAGCACCCAACGATGGATAAGATAAGAGATTTAAGAGATAGAAAGTTGGTTGCAATTTCTTCTAACAAAAGATCAATACTTAAAATTCTACCAAGTCAATCTTGTTCATCAGATGTTTCATACTGTTGAAGACACAAAGGAAGGTTGAAAGATTTTTTTATTTAACTAAACTCACGTAAATACATTTTAAGTTATTTTTAAGCTTGTTTACCATCAGCACCCTAACTTATAAAGTAAAATGATTTAGTAGCCGCCCACTGCATAGACTACTTTGGATGAAATTGTTATTTTTTTTTTAGCATTCTGTGTCATTATAAAGCACTTAAATAGTTTGAGCATTTAAAGCTAGTTTTGTTGTCTATTTACCATTTATACTTTTGTGGTTAAATAAATTCTGCAAAAAAAAAAAACCCTTAAAGCAAGAGCCACCTTGTGTAATTGCGGCAATGCCATTTTTTACCCCTGATACCGATACCCGACACCTGGCTATGTAGTATCGGCCGATACCATAGCGATACCATCTGTTTAAAATGTATGCGTGCGTGTGTGTATATATGAAGAATTGCATACTACTTGGATGTAAAATAATTGCCATCATGGCTTGGTCAATCTGCTGCCTACCTTTGTGACGCAGGAAAAAGATAAATACAAAGCGAATCCAGTAGAACTTTTTATTACCTACAGTTGAACTACCTATAACTATAACTAATAACTACCTATAGCTGAATAAACGTTTGGCTCTCAAAATGGTATTGGTGCCCTATTTTGTGGTACACGGCGATGCCGATACCACCATTTTAGTGCTGGATTGGGGCCCCGCCTGATACTGGTATCGATGCAACACTAGTTAACATTTCAATCTAGCTTTTTATTTAGAAGTCTGCTAATTTTAAAACTGAACTTAAACTACAGCTTTATCTTTCCACACTTATGATATTTGTCTACAGGGAGTGAAAGAGCACAAGTGTCGCATCTGTGGGCGTGAGTTCACGCTGTTGGCCAACATGAAGCGCCACGTCCTCATTCACACCAACATACGGGCCTACCAGTGCCACATGTGTTTCAAGAGCTTCGTTCAAAAGCAGACGCTCAAGGCTCACATGATCGTCCACTCAGACATCAAGCCCTATAAATGCAAGGTTGGTTAAATGTTGCTTCTAAAATGGGACTATTTGGTTGCGTTTTTGTAATCATTTGTTGTTTCTCTTTTGTTTATAAAAAAAAAAAAAAACAGAAGAAAATCAAGAAATGATCAGAATTGTCGAATTTTGATAAACTTAATGCAGAAAGAAGAAACATACTTTAGTTTATTCATAAAATTTGAAAAAAAAAAAAAGTACATTTCCATTTTTTTACATGCAGCCTTTCACTTTAACTGTGAAGCAAAAGTACTGAAAATACCTAACGATATGAGGTATTCTCTTTAAAGTGGGAGGTCCTGTGAGAGTGTTTTCCAAATTTTCTTAAAGGTCTGATTTGACCTTAGTGATATAAGGATTGAAACGATGACCAGATAGCAGAGAGGCTCATGGGAATGGGAGCCTCCTCGTCCATAGGAAGGATATAGCGGTGCAAACCGCCTTTCTAACAATGGCCCCCCCAGCCTCCCCAGAGAACGGGGCCCGCAAATAGATTTCATCTCGCTTTCTCTGCTGCTCGAGGGAGCTTCCTGTTTTCTCACGGTCCTCTTGGACAGTTTACAGTCCCTCTCTCCTCCTGAAGGAAAGGACCACCCTAATAAAAAAGAATGCAGAGGAAGGACAGCGCAGGAGTTGCCCTTCCCTGTTCTCCTCCTGGTCGTGTCTCAGGGTTGCTTCCCTTCTCTTTCTGCCTCTAATTCTTTCTGAACTTTTCTGTTCGTGTGCTCCTGTTTTGGCATCAGAGTAAGGACCATATTTTAGATTTCACTGCAAAAAAAATGTGTCAGTTGTATCTTAAAATAGGTGCATGCAAATTTGCATTTTTTACTAAATGAGGAGATTTTGCTGGTCCTCACTTTCTATTTTGATAATAAATAGGTTTGGTTTCAAGCTGTGAATTGAGTTTAGGCTAAGGTTAGGTTTAGGCTTATTGTGAGGGGTATGGCATAGATGGCATTCAAAATGACTGAGAATCATGTAGCAAGACAAGAATGTTTGTGTGAGTGTCAGAGAGGAAGGGTGAAGACAGAGAGGAAAATAGAAAAACAAGGATAGAGGGAGGAAGAAAGGGTGTGTGTCCTATTGTCTGCACATTCATTCATGATTACGTGTTGCTTTGCTGCTCTGTGATCTAAAGAGAAAGGAAAAGGACATGTCAGAGACAAAATTTAACATTATTAATTACTATTAAATTAGTATTTTATTCCATTAGTGATATAATTCTTTCTAGTGCATAATTGTTTTCTTTTTGTAATGAAATTTTAATGAACTTTTTTTTTTATGCGGCTGCAGATAAATATTTTGGATGAATTTTTAAAGTGATAGAAATGTAATTCTAGTCTTTCACCAGGATATAAAAAAAAAAGTTTTTCTGTCCAAATTGACATTGACAGACTGACTGAATGGAAGTTGCAAACCTAACAAGACTGACGGTGGATTCATTGGCCCATTTTCTTATGTTCACTAAGTAGTTTTAATTATTCAAATAAAAAGGAAAGCACATTAAAAATCCACAATTTTATCTACATTTGTGGACACCATCACTGTTGATAATAAAGGTTGACTTTAAAAGTGAGACCATGTTAAGCCATGATAACCCTGATAAACCATAAGTGTTAACAATAGCACCATATAGGGAGACAACCATTAGAATAACAGCTGTAACCAAAGGTTCACTTTTTATTCCTTTTAGCATAGGAGTTGGCATTTGCACAGCAGAATAGGTAGAAAATAGAACCAATTTTATAAGTAAGTCTCCTTTGCACATATCCAGTTTAACAAATGTTTACACATCTGTACCAGAAATCTGTATGCTAGATTCAAATTCTTGAATAGTTCAAAGCATCATTAGCATTTTGCTAAATATTCAAAAACATTGAGTTACATTTCCTCTCTTTCAGCTTTGTGGGAAAGAATTTAACAGAATGCACAACCTCATGGGTCACATGCATCTTCACTCAGACAGCAAGCCCTTCAAATGCCTCTACTGCCCAAGCAAGTTCACTTTAAAGGGGAACCTCACCAGACACATGAAGGTTAAACATGGAGTCATGGACAGAGGACTGGATGAAAGATGTAAGGAGATAAATATTGCATTGATTTCAAATTTCCATTATATTCTCCCAAATGTTGTAACATTTCCTTAATTTTAGTGTTTCGTCAAAGAGGACGTCTCTGCCTAGCCACACCGATGGGTCTCATCTCCCACTTCAACCAAGAGGAACCGTTTGACCTCTCCCAGAAACCTCCAGGTTTGCCCAGCCTCCGTCTCTCGCAGTCTGATGGTGAGAGCATCCCAGGAAGCTCCTGTCAAGAGGAGGATGAGGAGAGTTTGTACAGGAGGAGCCAGTATAGTCCAGGAATGGACCAGCAAGAGCCATCAGACGGGGATCATTACATTTCTGACCTGAAAAAGGAACAGAATGCTCAGACTGATAAACTTCGAACTGGCAAGACTCCCAAACTAAAGAAGTATCAGGAAAGTTCAGAGGAGGAGTCTTATGAAGGAGAAAAAAAAGCACAAGAGCAATTTGATACTACTCATCGCCTCTTACAATCAGAGTCATCTAATGAATCTGATGCAGAGGTAGAGCAGGTGTACACCTCTGAAAGAGTCCGCATAGAGTCCTGTGACTATGACACGATTTCAGAAGATGAGTGTGAGCAAAGCAAAAGAACCCTGGAAGGTAGTCATGAGGCCATGGATGTAGCGGAGAAGAACTGAAAGATGATAGAGCTCATGAAATTAGAAAGTGAGGAAAGAAAGAATAAAAGTACACTGGTCTTCATCAAATCAGATTAAACCTTCCCTACTAAAAGTCAGACAGGATTTCAATAATTCTAATAATTATTCCAGATTTGTAATACACTTCATCATAAAATAACATTTTAGCTAAATGGATCTACTCCTGTTGGTGTGTTTTAACTGGTCAATTCTTTGTGCAATGAATTAAAAATAATCAAGACATCTCGAAGAGGAACGATTTCAAGATGCCTGAAGGTGCATGGTTATGTGTTCGAAAATTATCTGCAAGCACAACAATGGCAATGTCTAGCCGTCAGATTTTTTCTTTTAAATAGACTGGTAAAAGATAATGTTTTGTTAGATTCTCAGTTTTACAACTGAAAGGGAACATGGATATTTTGGTTTAATGTGGAATAAGGAAAAGATGTTGATATATAGATCAGAGAACACACGTGGATACTTAAAGCTGTGAATTGTTATCAAAAGAATATATTCTAAGTTAGAGTCAGTTTGTAAACTGCAAGCAATGAAAAGTTTATTTAATGTACTAGTTTTTTTTACAAATAAGTTTGCATTGTTCTCACATTTATAACTTTGCTATACTTGTGACTGTATTGTAAATAGGCAAGTTTCTGTGTACTTTGTTGTGGGAGATAAATATAAAGTTAAATAATCGGGTTCCAATAACTGTTTTTGTGTAACAAGCTGTGATTTAATTCTTTAATTTTTGAAAATGTGTGATTTCATTACATTTTTTATTTTGATGTGCTTTCATCTTACCGTAGTATGATTGTAGCAATGATATGCTTCTGCTGAATAAAGACAAACTGTAGATTATTTTCTAAACATATTTTTTGACTAATTGTACAGCTCATAACACCAGAATTAGATTTTCCTCCTGCCTGACCAACAAATGCTTCAAGCATGAGATCAGTTCTGCAAGTTTCAAAAAGCTTGCATGTCTCCCTGTGCTTCTCTTTCAAAGCAGAGGAAGAGGAAGAGAAAACACCTATCCCCTTCTGTCTTTTAGGTTTTGATCAAACAGAGGTGATGGACACAGTAGGTGTCCCAGACACAAACATTACATGTCTGTGTGATTCAGAGGAGTGTTTCTCCTTACTGCTGAAGAATCAAATGAAAATAAAATTACTTCTTTACTAAATGTTCATGCCTGAACGTGTTTTTTTTTAATAACTCTTGACTATGCAGAATAGCTCACACATGCCTATCTATATTAGAAAGTAATGAATGCAGTTGGGTTTGTGTTTCACGTAGCAGTGTGGATTACTGGTTTCCATCCCATGCTATCGTGCCAGTTCAGGTAAATGCAGTAATTTCTTTTCGGATGAAATGCAGAACAGCAGCTTCTCCATTTTTGCCCAGCTACGACCACCGAGTCCCAGAGGGCGAAACTGCAAACAGTTTGAGGAAGTTCTCACATCCTCCTCCTCTTTCCTTTCCTTACCTACACGTTTCAATCCCAGCCCCTCGTTTCGAGAAAACAAACCCACAAACGGTGGAGGTCTGCCGTCAACAGTTGGCTCCTCTCAAAAGACTCTCATTGTCTGTTCAACTAGTTTCAGCTTGGAGGTTTGATGAAAGGTAGAGTTTCACAAAGGGATGCAGTCAATGTGGAGTCTTTTTCATGAACTGAAACTTGAGAGAGAATTAAAAGTCAAAGATGATGCAGAAACATCCTACAGGTAGATGTTTTTCCTATGAGAAAGTAAATCTGGCAGCAAAATGGAGTGTTACTGCAGAAACTTAAAAGCTGCTTCGAGGCTTTTGTTTTGTATGATATTCATAAAAATAACAGCAAATAATAATATGAGATATTGCAATCTTGAGGAAATGCATTGAGAAACATTAAACAGACTTAAACAGGGTTTAAATGGGGGAAAATAGTAATATGAATAAAATGCAACGAGGGAGTCAAATAAGGAACTGGGACTCATCCTAACAGTGCTATAACAATAAATCCATATTTGCATAGCCTCAAAATGATCCGATGAACCCATATAATGAATATTCGCTCCTCTATGTCTGCTTTTATTGGGACACAATGGGATAACTCAAGTAATGATAGCTGCTGAAATATATAGACCTCTCCCGTGGTTGGTGTTAATACGATGTGAATCGGTTCTACCACACGGAGCAATTCATAATGTGATTCACAATTTGCACTTGATATTTCTCCTTCCCTTCTTATGAAGGCTGAACAAGGGATCATTTATCTTGTCTTCATTGCCTCTGATTTGTGTTTTTTCATGTTTTTTTATTTATTCAATCAAATTTCGACTATCACCACATCCAGATGGAGGGTTTTCCTTACATAAACACTTTTAATATTCTGACTGAATTGTCTCTGTAATGTACAGTACCTGATGACATATGCTGTGAATCATGCAAAATAAATAAGATAAGAACTGAATTGAAATTGAATTGAATTCAAAGTGATGTGCATTTACATGTTTGACAATTTTATCTACCCTTTTATCTTTTTTTGCTTTTAAGCTCCTGTTGCCAAGCTCTTTTTGATTCATTAATTCATGACCTTTTTCAAATATGGCCTGTGACATAGCTCTTTTTAATTTTAATGACATACTGTTCTGTAATTTTGTAGGAGTGGGACACCATTTGAGGCACTGGATGAAAGTTCAGTTTTTTGCTATAGCAATTTTTTTTTTTTTTTTTTACAAAAAATAGTATATATAGCTGATCTCAATTTATTCACTAGAGAGCCAATTGGTTACAGGCATTGCTGTGAAGCCACAAGCCACCATGTTGGTACTCCCTTGATATGGATGGATGGATGGATGGATGGATGGATGGATGGATGGATGGATGGATGGATGGATGGATNTCACTTTTGATTCATATATATATATATATATATATATATATATACACACACACACACGAAAAAGGAAACTATCCTATTGTATCCAAGCAGATTTATGTTCAAAGAGATTGTAATGACCACCTTATATACACAAATACAGCTATGTATGAAAATATATTGTTATAGTTAAGTAAAATATACACACACACACATATGGCATAGTCGCCTTGCAGCAAGAAGATCCGACCATATACACACATAAAATGGCAGCAAGTTTTTTCAGCTATCCAGTGAATAAATCAGTGTGTGAAGCAAGCAGCAGTAGCTTGAATCGTCTTGCTTTACAACCAAAATGTCAGAATACTGCTTATAACACTGCTAGGGGAGCAATGTGTTTATAGTGAGTGTGCAAATGATCTGATTATCAAACTGTTGATTGCAGCAATGAATATTGCCATAAAATAAATTGTTGCTTAAGGTCTCATGAAGGCTTGGGCCAGCCTTTCATTTTGTAGCCCTGATCTCATCATTTTACATGATTATCTTCTGCTTGATATTATTCTGCAACACCAAAAGTAAAGTAAAATTGTTAAAACAATTTTGAAGCGCTGCCAGGTGTTTTATTTTTGTGCCACATTTATTCTATTCTGTATTTCCAGTGATAGCTAGTCCAACTGAACTACAGGTGTTATTTAGGAGGCCAGGGACTCTGTGGATGATTGAAGCTGTGCCAAGCTGCAGCTTCATGGACAGAAAAAATAAAACTACACACCAGCATGCCAGCTACTGCAGTTTATCGGGTGCCATTGTGTACTGACACGTGTCGCACAATGCACTTTAAAAGTCACGTTGCTTTTTCATCACTTACGTGCAGCCGTGCAATTCATCACCAGCGATGTGGTGTAAAAAAAGGAAGCAGAGAGAGGTATTGAAAAGAAATACTTCTGAATTATTCACTTTACTGGAACACAGATCTACATAGGGAGCTTTTTGGAGAAAAGGAACAAACAGTCTTAAAGCAGGTTTTCACTGGAATAAAGGAAAGAAACCCTTCCATTTTTTAGATGGACTACAGGTTTTTGTCATAGCACATCTCCAAAAAAGCATGGCTCAGCTTTCAGTAAGCCTAAGAATATTCAGTTACAAGCTTCCTGTTTCCCTTTTCGGTGAGAAATCAAAATGATGCTAAAATGTCTTCCATCTGTTTTGTTTATCAAAACCACCCCACCACAGTTTCACCCTGTCACCTCCTTTGACCCACAGCCAGTGGGTTTACTGTTATAATAGTTAAGAGCTTTCCTGTTGGGGTATTTATGGAGATGAAAACATTGGCTCAATAAAAGAGAGGCTATAGGTCAGCAACACAGATAGGGCCAGACCACGTGAATGTTGATTTTATGCTTTACATTGCATGATGAAAAAACACTGCTTACTTTTTGCCTGGTTTTAAGCACTTTTAGCCATTTAGAGAATTTTTTGTAGTTAGATTCCTAATGAGATTTTACTAATACTAGGACTTGCTGTATTTTGAATACAGCGTTGCATGTCAAAAAATCAACTTCTGGACAGCCTGCTAATCTGTTCCTTAGTGAAAGAGCGCTCTCTGCTGACAAGTTTCTATACTCTTTTTAAGTCTACAGGTTTTTAATACTCATCCTAACCGAAATTAAGCAGTGTTGGTGCTTTACACCACAAAAAGACACGAAATGGTATGAATAGTACATTGGTGAAAAACATCTTGTACAAAAATTAAGCCCGATAAGGAATAAAGGCCAATCAAACAAGTGGCATATCAGATTCCACTGCAAATGCCTTTACACTTTTTATGGATTTCATCCATCCATCCATCCATCCATCCATCCATCCATCCATCCATCCGTTCGTTCATCCATCAATGTATACAGCAGTCATCCTTAGAATGCAACACTACAAGGACATAAGAGGAATATACTAAGAGGATATAATAAAAATATCATTATAAAAAATTCAAATTTTTGGTATGAACCTATTTTGTTGTATTTTATGTGGTAGAATTTGTAATTTTTATGTCTGTCTGTGTCCGTTAAACCTCTTGCTTTGTGTTACTTTATGGTTATAAATTGATTATTTGTAAAGATTTACAATAACAAAATGTTTTACCACATCATTTAGCTAGCCGCTAGAATGTGAATGTTTTTTTTTAAATATAGTACCCTTGTATTTCAGAGAGACCAGCAATTATTTTTGTGTAGCCCATGTTTAAAATATAATATGTCCCTCTCAGTGAAGTAGAAATGGTACGGTCCAAGATGGCGGCCTCCATGTGGAAGCAGTGTCTAACTGCTGCAGTCAAAGTTAAACGTTTTTCTCCGTCTTTCACTGGTAAACGTAGTTTGTTGTCTAATGCAGCTAGATTATTTTTATCTTGTAACTTTATACTTGGGTTTATTACGTTAGATTTACCCTTTAGAGACAAGGTTGGCAAATTTAAGCTGAGGAAGAATGTCACTTGTTTGTTAGCTAACATTTGATCGGTGTGTTTTGATAGCAAAACGATGCTTGCTGTCGGCAGCTTATACAGACCCCAAGATCTGGGAGGAAAGAGAGAAGGACCCCCAGAACCTTGGTAAGACCCATTCATGTTTACGGATTTTGAAGGCCAGTCCTGTTTACAACCTGGAAGAATAATCAATGCTTTTCAGTGTCGTCTGACATCCGTAAAAGCTTGTGATCTAAACTTCTTTCTTCTTCTATTAACTTTATTTGCCCAGTTTTGTGGGCTTAATTCATTTTTGGTTATATCTGGGAAGTTTTTTGAAGTTGAATATTTATAAAGACAAACCTTTTACTTGTAAAACTGTTTTGATGGATAAAAATGTTCTTCTCTTAAACATAAATACACTCTGATATAACCCTAAGACACCTGTAGGGGTTGGCAAATTATTAATAAAACTCTTTGTGCAAGGATGTCCTCTAATTTATTTTTACGTTTGTTGCTACTGTAATGACACTCAATAAACACCAGGTGGCACTGTAGCCCAGTGGTGTATTGATATCCTAATATTATAATTTTTTTTTTTTTTTTGATTTCCTAATATAGGCTTGAATATTTATTTCCCTTACCCTGTTGTGGCTTGTATTAAAAAAAAAAACAGTTTTGTTTGTTGCTTTTACATCATTTTAAAATACACATTGGGACTGTTTTTGACAGGTGTGCTTTGATGGTAAACTGTTGTCGAAAGTTTTTATAACTTTTATCAAATTATGGTATTTTCCATACTTGCTTCTTAACAGCTTTGCTGGCCAATCTGATGGATAGAACCTATGACCGAAATCTCCCAGTTAGCTCTCTGACCATCTCACGGGTAAACTATATCTCTTTATGATCATATTTTATTTATTTTTTATAGGGCAATACCTGATGCCCAGCAGCCGTATCTGTTCTCTGTTTCAGTTTGTCGACAACATATCGTGTAGAGAGGAAGTTGATCAAGCAGAGTACTACCTGTACAAGTATGTGCAACCGTTTTCCTTCTTTAATATCATCACGTCTGCAGAATATTTGCTGCTTCCTTGTTTTTCTTTCTTTTTACGGTACCCACTCCAGTGTTTTCCTTGGATTGAATTGTCTGTTTGGTTTGCCTGTTTTGGCTTATATTCAGTCACATGGTCCTCTTTGTTCAGGGCATCTCCAGACCTTTCCTGTTTATTCCTTCCTGTGGAATTTGCTCCTATTTATGTGATTTCTCAGTTTAGCACGTTTCCAAAACAGATTCTCATTCAGAGGACGTTTATTTTTGTTATAGTTATGAAAATAAAACTGCTATTCTATTTTGGGTTGTTTGTAAAGCATTTCTAGTGGCTTTGCTTCTGCCCTGGATTGTTACATTTTATTCATCTGGGAAAGTTTTCAGGATAAAGGTGTCATGTTAGACGACCTATTGCTGAATCTGACTGCTTTCTCTATCTGTCTTTGTTGTTTTTTTTTTATAATCCAAGGTTTCGTCACAGTCCAAACTGTTGGTACTTACGGGACTGGACCATACACACCTGGATCAGACAGTGTCTGAAATATGGGGCTAGAGATAAGGCCCTGCACACCCTCAAAAACAAGGTACAGGATGATGAATGATTCCCTGGACAGTTTTATAATCAGAGCTAACCTGGTCAGACTAAACCAATATGTGTTTTAGCGCACGTTTTAGTAGTATAACTTCTGTCATGTTAAACATTTGCCGTCCATTATGAATGAGATGTGTCTTTGTAATGGGCCTCAATGGGGTGAGTGAGCTTTATGCAGCAGATCTAGCCCCATTTTCACAAATAATTTTAACTTGGTAAGATAAAGGTTATTATTCACAAAGCACCTTGGGCTTTAAGAGAACCCCTGAAGTGCAAAAAAGGTTGGGAGCAGATAGGAGGAAATTTAGAGAGACTAAAAGTGTTTTAAGTGGGGTGTCTGTCAGAAAAGGAGAGAACTGTTTGGCAGATTCTGCTCCTAAAATGTTGAAAAGAGGAGCACTTAAACTTCTTTAATAATCATTTCAATCAGATTCACTATTTTCTATGGTCAAATTGGTTAAAGTAACATGATTTATTTAAGATTAGTAAATCATAGGATATTTATCATTATGATGAATACAACATTAAAAAATGTTCGTACTATACAGTAAATTCATTTCATTATTTACAATTTGTAAAATTCTCTGCCAAACATTTTTATATAGCTATCAAGTCACTGGAAAATATTTATATAGATACTAACTCTGGATAATATGGAGTATAATAATATTCGTTCTATAGGAAGATATAAAAAAAGATGATAAAGTATTTGCTGTATTATCCATGGTCTGCCATATCCTAAATGGTCATCTAGAAATCACTTATGATGCTATCTCTCTAATGCCCAGATTCCACATTCACTCAGACTCATCCAAACGTCACGGTCCATGTACGTGTTCTCCATCCTTTACTGCCAAAATACAGAGCAAATCTATTTTCTGCTCCAATCTGTTGGAATCCGGCCAGGTCAAGATCCGCAAAGGCAATGGTTTTAAAAAGGAATAAGGAATGTGGAATAGATCCGGTTACTAAAACTGACCAGTTACTTCAAATTTGATCATAACTCTTATATGTCCTAAAAGAATAAGAACGTCAAATTAGATTTTTGGATGCAAACTTTAAACTTTTTTATTTTATGCTGAAAGACTTACAAGTTTCATAAAATTCTTTCGCAAAAACTCCCAAGAGCGCATCTCACAACTTCAAGAGCAACTTTTCCTCGCAGACTTGAAGGAAGAGATGCAGATTTTGGCAGTAGATAATAAACCTGGGCAGAAACTGCACGTCTGCTGGATAGGCCTACTGATGGTGCGTTTTAATTATGTCATATTAAATGAAGCGTTTATTACCTCGTATTGTGCACTGATGAATGATGCTATGGAGTGGGACGAGTATGGAGGATGTGACGTTTCGGGATAAGTTTTGGTTGCGGCTGGTTGCATTTCTTATGCCGTTGGATGGTAACTATTTACCCTTACTCACTTGTTTTTACTTGAGTAACTTTTTGAGAAGATCGTACTTTAAGGCGTGGTTTTTCTGCTTCATACTTTTTACTTTTAGCAGACTAAAACCTCTGGCTACCCTACTCATAATGAGAAACTTCACTCAATGAAGAACGGCCTTGTTTTAAACAAAAATGCATTATCTCTTAAGTAGAACTTTGTTTTATACTCCATCCATCCATCCATCCATCCATCCATTTTCTAGCACGTTTGTCCTGAGTGGGGTCGCAAGAGGTGCTGGTGCCAATCTCCAGCAGTCAATGGGCGAGAGGCGGGGTACACCCTGGACAGGTCGCCAGTCCATCGCAGGGCGTAATCCATTTATTATTTTTTATTTGCTGATCCTGCTCTGTTATTTGGAAGTCAAGTGGAAATACAGCAAATAGTTTACTCATATTACAGGAAGTAACTTACCGGTACCAAATTCTCACCTACATCAGTAACATACTATCAATAATGATGAGATTTTAATTGCAATGAATATGTTTTTTCTTCCTACTCAAACTATTGTTTCATTCCTGAATGTAGTATTTTGTAGATACCTTTGTTTTGTATATTTACTCAGTGTGTGAGTAACCTATTTCCCAATTATCTTTTCACTCTTACTTGAGGGATTTATTGGATTGGATTTTTTTTTTTTTTTTTTTTTTTTTTTTTTTTTTT